GAATTCCAAAAAGGCTTTCACCCACATATCAAAAATTCCTAGACTGATACATCAAATAAAAAGGGCAATGAGACCAGATTGGAGTAAACTTTAGATGTGTAAAGCATGGACGATTATAACTTGGAGCTTTGGAAGTGAATGAGAAAATGAGTGCATACATGATGAGTGAGAGCAAAAGTAAATGAGCAAGAGCAAAGAGACTGACCTGATGTAACATAATGTTGGAAGTCATCTTTTGCATCACCTCATTTGATGATTTGAGCAAACCATCTGAAATGTTGCTAAGGCTTCCGGACAATGAACGTCCCACTGTTTGTTGTTTAAATAAACATCATTTTAAAACATAAAAAATCATAACACTGTCGTTAATATATTGCAGATAATTAGCTTCTTTACTCTGCATAATAGTATGTAATAGTTTAATTGATGATTTAGTTGATTACATGGTTCACAACGGGCAAAATAGATATGGTTCAGGGACCACATTCCATGAAATTAGATTTCAGTACTCCACAAATTCAGTAATTATGTTATACTCTGGTAACCAACCATGGCATACTCTGTAGTCTGTACTTTGTATTTTTTTTCCTGGTTTCGGTAATACTGGGACGTGTTATGTTAACAATGAAATGTAAGCATACTTATGAGAAAAGATGAATATGGTTAGTTACATTTTCCATATATTCAATAAGTAGATGTCGCAAATCAAAAGCCATCTCAGTCTGAACAAAGCACTTTGATGTGTACGTATTAAATATATAACCTACTGTGTGCATTACAGTATTACACCATTTATTATATTTCTCAACTGAAACAACTATTGAAATGGGAAGAACTATACATACCAGTTGACCATTTGGAACGGAAAAATGCCGCCATCTCTATTCGTGCAGAAAGCTATTGTTGATCTTCCCTGTAAAATAAAAATTCATTCATCAATATTCTACATTTGCAACATAGGGCAGAAAAATATTTGAAAATACAATAAAATCAAAATAATTTATAATACTGTAAGAGGTATTTTATCAAACAAGTAATCTGTAATACTGTAAGAGGCATTTTATCAAACAAGTGATGACCACTACTTTTATAACCTAATGTTATATTAAATGCAAACTCAAATTCTTTTGTTTACTTAATAACCTTCATAATAAACATGTTTCAAACACAAATTGAACAAGAGGATGACAAATAAATGCTAGGTTTTAAGCCATCAACAGACCAAGTTATATGGTTCACTGTGATCCTCTTCTAGAGCTTATGTGATAGTATACAAGAAGAAGAAGAAAGAAATTGAATGAACAACGAAGCTCAGATAAATCACACTTATTACCTAGGTTGGCTTCTCAGTTCTCTCTCTAAGTCTCTATTGTTTTCTTCGTTATAGCCTTTGTAGGCTTCTTTTCTCTTTATGAACAAAACCGGGTTTCGGGTTTATTTTAGTTCGAATCGCCGGTTTGCTAGTCAACCCAACGAGTTAAACCTGAGTTTTAAAAACCGAGTTTGTTTAAGGACTAGGTGACTACCACATTCGAGATTATTTTGGAAGAGAAATTGTTCTGTGTTGTTGTTGTTGCGTAGCTCTGAATCAATATGGCCACCTCGTTGCAACGTTGCGCTAACACCACCTTTCGTGTTCTTCGATCACCAGTTCTCAATTCATCTTCTTCTTCTTCATTGTTGAGGTGTTTCTCTTCTGATTCTTTGGTTGAGATCAAACCAGGTGAAATTGGAATAGTTTCTGGAATTCCAGAAGAACATCTTCGAAGAAAAGTAATTTGGATTTCTCTTTTATGCTATTCTCTCTCTTAAATGTGTTATTGATTACGAATACTCTTCTTAGTTTGGTTCAATTGCGTCTTTTTTCCAAACATATAGTTCATGTAAAATAAAAATTGATCTATTGAAAAATAAAGAATAATGAACTAGTCTTAATTGAGATCCTTTGAGCAAAATGTAGTTATGTAGATCAGAGAAATTAGTTTTGTTATTAGCATCTATAGTGTCATTTCTGTATAATCTGCCAAGTTTATTTATTTTTATTATCCTTTTTATCAAGCTATATTAAACTCAATTCTGCAGAAAATAAATTTAAAAATTAAGATTTCTTGATTAATTTACTACAAAATATTCGTACAAGTAGAATTTTCAGTCTGAAGATATCATTACCCATTACATCAATTCATGGTGTCAAGTTATTGACAAGCCTGTCTATGGTTGTAGTACTGCCAATCGAGTTTTGCAATTCTGACTCCCATAACTGTTTTGCGAAGTTTGTAAGCCACTTTATTAACTTATCCCAATCTACTTGTTGTAGGTGTTTATATACTCACCTGCTCGAACTGCTACCCAACAAGGGTCTGGGAAAGTTGGAAGGTGGAAAATCAATTTTGTCTCGACCCAGAAGTAAGTTTTTCTTCACTCATTGTTGTTTGACATCGATTAAGTTGTGATAGATAGCTCAGTAAAGGGTGTCTTGGGCTGTTATGTCATTTTTGGACTACTGAATAGCTTGCAGTTTCTGTCAGTGCAATATATGGGCTGTTATTTAGCATTTGGGATTTTGGCCCTTGAAAACACCAAAGGGACACATACAGATATACACATCTTAGCACAATAGCATTTTCTTGTAGGTGGGAAAATCCGTTGATGGGCTGGACATCGACTGGAGACCCATATGCTAATGTGGGTGATGCCGGACTCAGTTTTGACAGTGAAGAAGCTGCCAAACAGTTTGCTGAGAAGCATGGATGGGAATATGTGGTATGTCTTGTAATCTTATAGGTTTATAGTGCAAGGATAGCTCGGATGTTCATGTAGTGACTTCTCTGTGTTTATTTATGTGCTTTTACTCTTTCAGATTATATTCGAACTCTTGCAAGTTAATATGGATTCTATTCTGTTTGCTGTATTTTTATCTTACTGTGTCTCTATACCTTGTGGTCACTTGGGCTTCTGAGGAAATAGGGAGGCAGAATAGGTTTCAACTTTCAACTATTTACTGAATCCTTTCATACAGGAAGTAACTTTTACTTCCGCTATTGTATTGCAATATAGTAATCAACCGCAATGAGAGATGGGGCATCAAGTACCACATTTATGATATTCAGTTGTTTAGTGACTTCAAGTCAATATCCCCTTGCTTTACTTCTCAATGTGTGGAATTGTTTGTTGAAATATAATCCCCATTTGGGCATATTCGAAATTATATGGAAATTTATAGAAGTTGAGGATTATTCATTGAAATTTCAGGAGTCAGGACATGACAAATTGAGCTTGGGAAATACTCATAGCTCATTAACTTGACTGAAGAACTACTTGGGCGAGGAAGTTTCAATTATCATCCCCCGTCAATATTCCTGCCAAGCTGTGTAGGTTTAGGCAAAAGACATAACTTGGGTACAGACTACAGAGTAGTCGAAGGAAGCCCAGCATATCTGAATCAGAGATGGCAACACAGGATCATCAAAGCTCAAACTGCATCACCTCAAACCTGTATGGTAGGGAACGAGAGAGTGTACCTTGAACTTTAAAATGATAAAAAAAAATTCTAAAATTTGAAAACAAAAGAATCAGAAAAATTGGGAAAAAAACAAAATTTGAATTCATGGTTGTCCTTTTCGGTACGTGTTTGATTCTTTGCTTGTTGCAGGAAAGATGATAAAGCTGCAATATGATGGAAAAGTCTACTATTTGTTTGTCCTTAGTCCGTTGATATTTGTATATGTCATCTCTTACGTGGATTTTTAATCGATTGTGCAGGTCAAGAAGCGCCATACACCTCTCTTGAAGGTAATTTATTTTCAAGTATTAGTTAGTTTTATGGAAAATAACTTGTGTCCATTACTCCATTCTAATCCCTCTCACTATCAGACAGATGAGTGCGCCGCTAATTGAAAAAAAAAAAA